ATGATAAAAAACCATTCAACTAGCCTGAATAGAGCTCCTCATCTTCCATTAATAATAGAGCATCTTCTTATAAAGGGTATCTTTCTATAATAAAAACAACAGCTAACCTCATATATATATATTTTTTGGAAGACTGAATGATTTCCTCCTAACATCAGAAATAAGGCAAGAATGTTTGTTTTCATCACTTCTAGTCAACAATGTCCTGGAGGATCTAGCCTGTGCAATAAGACAAAAGAAATTGTTAAAAGAAGAAGAAAATAAATTTAAAGGCATACAGATTGGAAAGAAAAAAGTAAAACTGTCATTATTCTCAGATCATATAATTCTGGATGTAAGAATTAATCTATAAAAACAACAACAATAAAAAACCTACCTGGACTAAAAAACAAGTTTAGCAGGTGCAGAGGTATAGGGTTCAAGATATATAAAATGAATTTTATTTCTATAGAGTGCAACTAAGAATTAAAAAATAAAATTAACAAATCTATTGATTATAGCATAAAAATAATAAAATACTTGAAAAGAAACTTAACAAAAGAAATGCAAGACCTGTATACAGAAAATTCCAAAACAATTGAGAGAAATTAAAGATGATTTAAGAAAAAAAAAAGGAAAGACATACCAGTTTCTTAGAGATCTGATAGTTTTAAGAAAGCAGTTCTCCCCCAAATTTATCTCTAGATTATTTCTATCAACACTATTCCCATTCAACACTCTTCCGATCGAATTCCCAGCAAGCTTTTATGTAGAAATTCACAAGCTGACCCTAAAATTTACATGATACACAGAGGACCTAAAACTAATAAAAATAGAGTTGAAGAAATTATGCAACCTGACCTCAAAACTCACTAGAAAGCTAAAATAATAAAGACAGTGGTATTATTAACATAAGGGTAAACATACAGATGAATGGAACAGACTAGAGAATACAGAAGTAAACCCTCACCTGTATTGTCAATTGATTTTCAACAAAGGTGCAAAGACAATTCATTGAGGGAAAGGATAGTCTCATAAACAAATGGGAATGGATGCTGGGAAAACTGGATATCCATTTATTACCAAAAATAAATAAATTAATTAATTAACTGGACCCTTACCTCACAGCATACATAAAAATTAACTCAGAATATATCATAGGCCTAAAATGTAAGAAATAAAACTATAAAATTTCTAAAAGAATAGATAGGAGAAAATTTTTGTGACCCTGGATTAGACAAATATTTCATAGACATAACACCAAAAACATAAACCATAAAAGAAAAACAATTGATAAACTGAACTTTATAACTTCTGTTTTTCAAAAGACACCATTGAGCAAATGAAAAGACAAACCACAGACCGGGAGAAAATATTTACAAGTCCTATATCTAATAAAAAATTTATATTTAGAATATTAAAAAGAAAAACACAACTCAATATGAAGGCAAATAATTCAAAAATTGGCAAAAGATTTGAATAAGCATTTTATAAGAAAAGATTTATGAGCAGCTAATGAGCAAATGGAAAGATGTTCAAAATCATTTGTCACTATAAAAATAAAAATTCAAAATACAATGAGATACTAAGACAGACCCAAAAAGAATTGATAACATCAAATCTTGGGAATGATGTGGAGAAACTAAAACCTTTAAAAATTGCTGGTGGAAATGTCAAATAGTAGAGTAACTTGTGAAAACAGGCTGACAGTTTCTTAAAAGGCTAAACATATACCTAGCATACAAGCCAGCACATATCCACATATTCATACCAACATAGTTCACAATTGCCAAATACTGAAAATGGTCCAAATGCCCACCAAAAGCTGCAGTTCCCAACCCCGGTGCCGTGGCCCAGGACGGGTCAGTGGAACCAGGCCACACAACACTGCCTGAACTCTGCCTCCCTTCCTACCCCTACTCCGTCCCCGACCCCGACTATGAAAAAATTGTCTTCCATGAAACTTAGGAACCTGGCTACACAGCAAGAGGTGAGCAGTGGGCAGAGAGGGAAGCTTCATCTGTATTTACAGCTGTTCCCCATCACTGTCATCACCTCCAGAGCACCACTCCACCCCACCCCCTCATCCATGCCTGGTCTGTGGAAAGACTGTCTTCCATGAAACCGGTCCCTGGTGCCACAAAGTCTGGGGACCCTTCATTAAAGGGTCAATGTGTGTATGTGTGTGTGTGGGGGAAGTTCCATCCAATAAAATACTATATATCAATAAAAAGGAATGAACTACTTTGGATGTGGAATAATATAGATGATCCTCAAAAATATTATTCTAAATGAAAAAGCCAGAGAGAAGAGACTACATATCATATAAATTCTTTATATGAAATTTCTAGAAAAGGCAAATCTGTAGTGACAGAAAAGAGATTAGCAGTTGCTGGGGACTGGGTAGTGGGCATAGGGATTGACCACAAATAGGCATCAGGGAACTTTTTATGGTGATAGAAAGAATCTAAACTGGATAGTGATGATGGTTTACAACTGTATACATTTTCTAGAAATCATTTAATCATAGTTATAATGGGTGAATTTTATGATACGTAAATCGTACCTCACTGAAACTGTTAAATAAGGGAAGCAGGGAATGAAGCAATTGCCCTGCCTTTCCTATAGGAACTTTATTTGAGGGTAATGAAATTGCTGATAAGGTGTAATTTTTAATGGAAAACTTTTAGCTAATAAATATGAAAGAATGACAATTTTGGAAAAGTAACAGTTTTTTAACCCCTAAGGAAAAGATGAATCTCAATGGATGCTAAAGCTATTAGATGAAAGGCTGATGAGAAACTTCATAATGGAAGAATAGAGCTGATGCTGCCTGGAGCCACATGATCAATCTTAGCATCCCTAAACTTAAGACAATCAAACATTTTATGCAACTTGATATAATGAAGAATTCTTGCCAAAATAATAAAATAAAATAAGCCTGAACTTAATAAAAACCTCTAAGTATAATTATCAGTTCATAATATAAGTAATAAACAAGTTAAACAACACTTTGAGGCAGCAATCAGCCAAATCCAAACTGTAGGACACTCTAAAGAACTTAGTTTTCCTAACAAATTCACAGTATTAAAAACAAACAACAAAACAATAAGCACTACTACTATAAAAAAAAAAGAAACTTAAGAGATAAATAGCCATATATAATGTGTGAACCACACCTTGACTGGATCCTGATTTTAACAAAAAGCATTTTGGGGACAACTGAGGAAATCTGAATAATGACTAAGTATTTGATTTCATTAAGGGATTATTAATTTTGTTAGGTGTGATACCAACATGGTGGTTATATTTTTTAAAAGTTTTTATCTGATGGAGGTCATACCAAAGTATTTGCAGTGAAATGACACAATCGTAGAATTTGCCTTTAAATATTCCAGCAATTTTTTTTAAGTGGCAGGGTGAACATGTAATAAGATTGGCAAAATATTGAAAATTAATGAAGCTGGTTGATAGGCACATGGGACTTCATCATTTCATATTCACCACTTTTAGTGTTTTCTAATTTTTCATATTAAAAATGGTTAGGGGACAAAGAAAGATCGCAAAAGAGGGGATGGAGGGCAGGGGGAAGTATCAATAAAAGAAAAAAGAGCCCAGAGCTCACAGGAGAGGTCAGGGGTAAAGACTGATGTGGAAGACATCAGAGGATAGTCTTTGGAGAGTATCACATAAGGAGAGAGCATAAATGAAGTAAAAAGAGGTCAGAAAAGTGAAACCAGTAGAATACTTCTATTTAATATTTAAAATAGGGCAGAGAAAGATGAATTTGAGGATACCAAAAAGTGGAATGGAATATCAGTGGTTGGGAAGAAACCCAAAAGAAAAAAATCAATTAGGGATACCAAGGAAGAAAGTTTCCAAATAATAACCAGTAAGTATTCTTCTTATAGCCACAAAATTTCAAATCGAATGAGGAAAAAAAACATTAGTTTTTAACAGGAAAATTTCAAAATGAGAGAAATGATTATCTTCATTTCTTCTAAGATACACAATTTCCCAGATACTGAACAAGATGTTCAGAAAATATTCAAATTTATATATCCACTGGCACCAAACTGCTACCTTAGCTAATCTTCCACAGTGGAAAATATAATACCAAGTGCTAGAACAGCTATAAAAAAATTAATAAGATATTCACATAGGCTACAAAGAGTTCTTTGGAGAAGAGTCAATAAACTATTATATAACCTCCATGAAGTCAGACAATGGTCTGGCCCCATTCCTCACTGTACACCCAGATTCTAGCATGATGCCAGGCCACGTATTTTTTACATTGCTAGAGTCCCAGTGGGGTGAGTAAGGGGTAAGTGGGGAAGGGACAGTTGATGATGGTGATGCTCAATATGTTGTCCTTTTGAGCCACAGTTATACATTTGATCAATCTGGCAATCCCAGAGCCCTTCCTAATTACAAAGATAAATAACAGAGCTTTTAATTTCACACCCAGAGCTTGAATAACTTATTCTCAAATGTATACTTTTGCACTGCTGCTCTCACAAATAGCTGTATCTTTTTATAGTTGATTTCTAGTAGTTTGAAGAATTTACTATTATCTATAGCCCTGAAAAAAATGTTTCTTTCAAATAATTTATTAACATAATAAATGTAATACAAAATGCTAAAGCATATGTATTTAATATTTTAAGCTACTATTACTTTGATCTTACATTATTCACTCTCTTGATTTGCAATGCACTGAGGTTAAAGACATATTTGTGTTTTCAGGGCAAAGTCTCATATAACATGAATTGCCATCATAAACACTCCTTATCATCTCAATCAATAAAAAATTTAAATAAGTCTCTCTTTGTTTTCTATAGATCACTTTTTATCATTTCTAGGTTTTTCTGAAATTCTACAAAATATAAAAAGTCTTTGCTCAAGAGTTTTAAAATTTGAACAGACCCTTTAAAACTTTTATTTAACCCAGGATTAAAGAGCATAGGGATAATAGGTTCTAAAATGTCTTAGACTCAGGAATTAAAAAGTTAAAAACTTACATTCAAGCTGTGCAACCACATCTCCAGGGTCAACTGCATCAGGAAACACCTGTAGTGGGAGGAGGATCCAGGGGGAAAACAGGATGGGGAAGAGGAAGTGAAAGGAAGACAATATATGACTGTGTTGTTTCCCTCTCATTCTCAAAATACCATTCCTATCCCAACCAAAGAAACTTTCAACATTACTGAGAACCGTCACTTCCTTTCTGCTTCTCATGACCATTATGAAAGATTTTACAAATAAACAAACTTTATAGCTCACACTGCCTCCCTCTTCAATTCCACCTGCTAGCATTCTTCCCCTTATTTGTTCCCATGAATATACCCGCCTTCTTGGTGTTCCTCCAATCCATCAAGCTATTCCCAACAAGAAGCTTTTACATTTATTATTCCTCTGCTCTTTCCCTAGACTTTCAAAACTAATATAGTTTTATAATTCAGGCTCAAAGCTTAAATGTTACTGTCTTCTCTGACCACCCTTTAAAACAGACCCTAATCCCCTTACCCCCACCATTTTATCCTCTTTATGCACTTAAGACTAACTAACGTTATTCACATATTTACTTGGTTACTGTCTGTTTCTCCCATTACAATGAAAGTTCCAAGAGGGGACGATTTTGTATTGTTTACCATGTGCCCCCAGTGCCTAAAACAATCAATGGAACAGAGAAGGTTCTGGATAATTATTTGTGGACAAAAGGAAGAAGGAAGGAAGGCAGACAGAGAGGAAAGGAGGGACGGAGAAATGGAAGGGAAAAAGGGAGGAGGAAAGAAAGGAAGGAAGGAATATGGGTGGGAAGGAAGGAAGGTGAAATACAGAAAGCAGGTAAGAAGGAATGAAGAAGTGACATTAAAAGGTAAGAAATGTGATTGGTAATAATTAACCCAAAGCAGCAGTTTTAGGGGTTAAAAAAAGAAACTTATAGAAAGAACTACCATAAGGCAGCTATAAGTAAAATATGACATATTCTTACCTATTAATTACTTATCTTTCTTTTATAAAAATTATTTAGAATTCTAAATGTTATGTTTCACATAAAGCCCACTAATTTTAGAAGCAAGCTAATCCATCAAAGGAAAAAAAGGAAACTGATTCAATGTACATTAAATGCATATTTATTTCTAAGTTTCAAGTTCTAAGTTACAACTTTCCTTTTGAACTAAATCAAAGGACAAAGTCAGCAATAATAATTTGTGTTATGGGCTTTTATTAAAAAATTAGAACCACTTTCATTTTTTCATTTTTAATACTTGATCTGATATTTGAACTCACCTTTTCAAACACCATTCTGGCATTGAAGACCAGTGGAAAAGTGGCTGGGACACATTGTGTCTTTTTGTATTGGCCAAACACACAGATGCTAAGATAGATGTCCTCCTTGTCTTTCAGCACCACTCCTGGACAAGTTACCTGAAATAAATTAGATAAATGAATGTAATTGCTCTGTGAATTCCCTAAACTATCCCACTAAGATGATTTATCAAATATTACATAAAAATACTAGTCTGCTAACCTAATAAAAATACACACAGATAAAAAAAGAGAGATTCTAGTGTTTACAGAGTTAAATGAAATGCCTTTATAACTTCCATCCCTCTGAGAAATCTGCAATTTTCCATTTGGTTACTTGTGCCACATTTGAAGCAATCTGTGCTGGCTCTTGGGACAGACACTAATAGTTTTAAACAGCAGCCTTAGGCTTCTACTTTATGCTGAATGCTTACATAAAGTTATTCAGCATCATTTAATCACAAAGGATTAATGCTCAGCAGAAATAAAACATTATACTAGGGAATGAAAAAAATACCAATACCAATAAAAAGCACAAAGTTGAACTCTGTCACCCTAAATAGCAGTCCATAGATACCCTTATCTAAAGTAACATTACAAAGTTTCAAAGCTAATGAACTAAAAGTCTCTAACCCAATGAAGTATTTTTAAAATATTTAATTGCACTTAACTATCATCATTATAATTGACAGAAAATATAGGCATAAAATGTGGGGTATCCAAATAATACACAGCATAGTCTCTCCAGTCTCTGCCTTATTCCATTGCCAGTGATCAACCACACCCTTAACAGGATATTAAAGGTTCTCTAAGATTTAAGTCCAACACAGTAACAATGTCCCCTAACACACCCTAACAATACAAAGTATATTTTCATTGTTCTCTGAACACATTCCACTCTTGCCTCATGTTCTTCCATCATTTATATAATGTAATGTACTCCATTCTATCTCTTCCTTGTTTATTCCTACAACCTGCCAAGACATACATCAACTACCACACCCTCCACAAAATTTCTCTTGATTCACCAGCTAACATTATTTAATTCAATCTAATTCAATCCTTTATTATGAACTTACTGTATGCAAGTAATATGTTTAAATTCTCATAGCATTTAGTAGTTCACTTAAAGTCCAAATTATTGTCTACATGCATTTTAATTAAGTAAGTGGGTACCTCTCACCTCTTGTTTAAAAATTCTCTGAGGACAGAAATTTTATTTTCCTCATCATGGTATCCAAAGAAATGGACTTTCAATATTAAGAAGCTTAGAGATGATCTAGTCCAAGTTCGAATTTTTTATGTATGAAACCAACAGAGCCCCAGGCAAGTTTAGGTGATTTACTAACTTAAGGTCAGAAAATAAATGACTCATAAGGTTAAATGAGTTAATATATTCAAAGTGCTTAGAGCAGTGCTTGACAGAGCATTCATCAATACTAGCTACCATTATTTTTAGATTAAAAACCATATCATCTGCCATCTTAACAGACTAGAGCATTGAATAAACGACTAAGACTTAATGTCCTTTTGTGTGCAGCAGTTAAGATTATCTTCCATACCAGCTATTTTGACTCCATCTCCCTCTTACTCTGTTTTCTACTTTTGCCCTAATATATTCCCAACTGATCACTAAAATCAAGGTGCTCTGCAAATCTCACTCTGTCCATCAGCTTCATTTCCTACTCTGCCTGAGGAGAGGCAAATTCTAAAACCAAAACTGTCCTACAATCCTAAATCTGCTATGTTGCTGTCCAACATGGTAGCTGCTAGCCACTGATACCTATAGATGTAGCTAGTCCAACTTGAGATGGGTTATAAAATACATAATGGATTTTGAAGACTTGTTACAAAAATATCTAAGATTTGCACCAATAACTTTTATATTAATTACATCTTGAAAGGATATTTTGAATATACTGATTTAAATAAAATATATTATTAAACTTAATTTTATCTACTTCTTTTAACTTTTTAAAATGTAGCTACTAGAAAATTTAAATTATATCCTTGGCTCAAATTTGAAGCTCATATGTTATTTTCATTGGGCAGCACTGCTCTAATTTTCCTCACTGAAAACTGCTGAGTCTCTTCCTAATTTGAAACATATGCAAGAAGGCATAGCTTTTTCTTCTCACCTACAATTCTATAAATTCTGCCATCATTTAAAAGAATACCCAGCAGCTTTCCTAAAAGAAAGCAGGAAAAGAGAGGTTAAAAAAAATGAGCAGGGCAAATAGAAAATAACTAGCAAAGTGGTTGACTTAAACTACTTTCACAAGCTATGACATATTCTTGGCAATTTAGAAGGGTATGCATACATACAAGGCCATGTATATGCTCAGAAATGACCTGAGAAAGCCATAATCTCTCACTTCTGGCTGACCTTGATGCTCTAGGAAATCTGGAAGTGAAGACTACCACAGTTGTAGACTGCCCATCAGGGCATAGAACGCATGCCCCAACATGCACACAGAGATCTTTGTCAAAGGCCGAAAGATTTATCGGTCAGAGCATTTAAGGAAATATAAGTCCAGTTATTAGAGGACCATAAAGCAAACTGAGCAAAGACTTCAGTGGCCACACATGACAAAGAATACAGATTTCACAGAATTAGTTCAAGAAAAGAACTAAACAAACAAAAAGCAACAACAGCAAATAATAAAAAACCTGGGAGAAGGAAGAGGTAGTTGGATTCACAGAGCTCCACATAATATTATTTAAATTTTCCAATTTTCAATAAAAACTATGATATGCAAAGAAATAAGAAGACCCCCACACAGAAAAAAAGCAATCAGTAGAAACCATCCCTGAGGAAGCCCAGAAGTTAAGTTTACTAAACAAAAACTTTAAATCTATTATAAATATGTACAAAGGACTAAAGGAGATCTTGTCTAAAGATCTAAAGGAAATAATAGAATGCCAACTCAGCAAAAAGGAAATATAAATAAAAATATAGAAATTATTTTTAAAAAGAACCAAGTAGAAATTCTAGAGTTGAAAAAGTACCAAAATGAAATAAAAAATTCACTATTAATAGGTATGAACTGTCAGAAGAAAGAATAAGTGAACCTCAAAATATCTCAATTAAAATTATCCAGTCTGAGTAACAGAAAGAAAAAGAATGAAAAAAGAAAAATGAACAGAGTCTTAGAGACCTGTGGGATATGTGTGTATGCTTGAAAAATAAATATAATGGGAGCCCCAGAAGGAGAGGAGAAAGGACCATAAAAAATATAGCAAGAAACAATGGATGAAAACTTCTGAGATTTAAAGAAAAACAATCAATACATCCAACAAGATTAAAGATCTGCACATTCTACACATCATAATCAAACTTTCAAAAGAAGACAATAAAAAAAAAAAAACTCTCAAGAAGAGAGAATTCGGAAAGCAGTAAGAGAGAAGTGATTTAGCAGGTACCGGGAATCCTCAATAAGATTAATAGCTGATTTTTCATCAGAGACATGAAGCCAGAGGAAGTGCGATGACTTACTCAAAGTACTGACAGAAGGAAACTTTCAAACAGTAATTCAATGTCCACAAAAATTTTCCTTCAAAAAGGTAGTAAAATTAAGAGATTCCCAGGTAAACAAAAACTGAGAACTCATCACTAGCAGAACTTCCCTACTAGAAATACTATAGAGAATCCTTCAGGTTGAAATGAAAGGATACTAGATAGTAACTCATATCTAGATGCAAAAATAAAGAGCACTGGTATATAAAACAGTATAAATGTATTTTTCTCTTATTTCTCCTACCTTATTTAAAAGATAATTGCATAAAGCAACAATTATAAAACCGTGCTGATGGACTTATACATATAAAAATGTAACTTGTTACACACATCTCTCTGAGCTTTGGCAGAAGAAAAATTTATTTTCAAATGTAATTTGTATGATGATAATATAAAGAAGGGGAGAGGAAATAGAACAAAACAGAAGCAAAGGTTTTGTGTACTACTGAAATGAAATTGGTATTAATCCATACTAGATTATTATAAATAAAGAAGTTAATTGTGAACCCGAGTATAAGCACCAAGAAAATAATTCAAAAATGCAGAAAAGAAACAAAGATATTAAAATGGTACACAAAACAATAGTTAACACAAAAGAAGGCCATAATGGAGGAATAGAGAAACAAAAAAGACATAAGGCATATAGAAAACAAATAGCAAAATGACAGAGGTAAATCCTACCTTACCTGTGATTACATTAAAGATACATTCACTAAACACTCCAGACAAAAAGTCAAGACTGGCAAAAAGGATTAAAACTATGATCCAACTATATGCTGTCTATAAGAGACATACTTTAGATTCAAAGACACAAATGGGTTGATAGTAAAAGGATGGAAAAAAATACTATGCAAGCAGTAATCAAAACAGAATTTCAATGACTATATTAATATCAGACAAATAGACATTAAAACAAAGATTGCTATTGAGACACATAAAAAGATTTTATAATTGCATAATTAAAACATACAGAAGACATATATGTCAAGATGACATAACAATCATAAACACACATGCACTTAACAGAGCCCCAAAAGACATGAAGAAAAAAGAGACAAGTATCTCTCCCAAGATTAACAAATGGCCAATAAGCACATGAAAACATACTCAACATTATTAGTCATTAGGAAAATACAAATCCAAACCACAATGAGATATCTCTTCACAACCACTAGGATGGCTACAATCAAAAAGATTGACAAAAACAAGTGTTAGGGAGGAAGAAGAGAAATTGGAACGCTCACATGTTGCTGACGGAAATATAAAATGGTGTAGACACTATAAAAAAAAAGTTTGACAGTTCCTAAAAAAAAAATTAAACAGAGTTACCATAAAATCCAGCAATTTCACTCCTAGGTATATACCCAAGAGCACCGAAAACATTATGTCCATGCAAAATTGTGTACACAAGTATAGCAGCATTGTTCATAATAGCCAAAAAGTAGATACAACCCAAATCTCCATCAACTGGTAAATGGATAAGCAAAATGTGGTATATCCATACAATGAAACATTTTTGGCCATAAAAAGGAATAAAGTTCTGATATATACTACAATGTAGACGAACCTTACAAATGTTAAGTGAAAGAAGTCAGACACAAAA